ATCTCACTGTGGTATTAATTTATGTTTTCCTAATGGTTATTGTTTTTTAATATCTTTTCACATACTTATTTACTATACATACATGTTCTATGGGAAAATGTCTCTTCATGTCATTTTTTTTTCATTTTTTAATGGATTGTTTGGTTTTTTACCGTATGTCTCAAGAGTTTTAGATAGGAGTCCTTTATCAGATATGTGGTTCACAGATATTGTCTCCCACTGGGTAGCTTGTCTTTTTATCCTCTGAGCAAGATCCTTCACAAAGCAAACACTTTTAATTTCAACAAAGTTCAATTTAACATTTTTTTTCTTTTATGGATCATATTTTTGGTGTCATGACTAAGAACTCTTCGCCAAGCCCCTGATGCCTAAGATTTTCTTTTGTGTTTTCTTCTACAAGTTTTATATTTTATGTGTTGTTGTTTCGTTTAATTTTGTTTAGCTCTCTGTCCACACCATAAAAACTTTATTTACTATGGCTGTGTCCTCTTAAACCATATCCGGAGTATAATTATGTGTTACATTTAAGTCTGTGACCCATTTCGAGTTAGTTTTTGTATAAGATGGGAGGCTTTGCTTGGGGCTCTCCCTCTCCCCTCTCCCCACCCCCAAGGATACCTAATTCGTGCCATTTGTTGAAAATATTATTCTTCCTCCACTGAATTGCCTTTGCAATTTGAAAGACCTATTTTTCTCCAATCCTGAAAGGCTGGGAGAATTTCATTCTGCCCCTCACAGTATTTGAGCTTAGCCTTCCTCCCCATGTGGGTTTAGAATCTGGTATATGTCTAGTCTATGGCCATACCACCCTGAACGTGCCCACTATCATCTGATCTCAGAAGCTAAGCAGGGTCGGGCCTGGTTAGCACTTGCATGGGAAATCAGGTATATGTCTTGATGGGTTGACATCATGGGGGTCTTTCCCCTTTAGCACCATGAGACTATGGGGGATTATCTTTGCCTTTTAGCTTTCATCTCAGTCTGGAATTTAGCAACTACTCCATGGGGGGAAAGGCCATGCATTTGGGGGCACATCCAATTTCCAATCCATTACACCAGCCCCTCATGGCCACCCCAAAAATGCACTGCCCAAGGATTCCCTCTTCCCACTAAACAAATCAGCCTGCACTCAGAACAGGAAATTTTTTCCAGGGAAGAAGATGATGTGCTCATCAACTCACACACGAAGGGCTCTTTTCTCTCTGAAAATTTAGTTCATCTACTTCTTGTTGTTTCTATGTTCTCCACACAACTTCCAGAAGGATGGCTTAAACATGTAATCATACCATATCCTTCCCCTGCTCAAGTCTACTCAATGGATTCCTAATGCACATGAAATCAAGTCTGAGTTTCTTAAAATGTTTGAAGTAATCTTTTTCCCTCATTGACCTCGATCCAGCCACGCTGATTTCCTTGTTATTCCTTTTTTTTTAAAAAAAGATTTTATTTTCAAGCAATCTCTACAGTCAATGTGGGGCTTGAACTCACAACCCCGAGATCAAGAATTGGATGCTCTGTGGACCGAGCCCAGCCAGGCGCTCCAATATTTTCTCCGCGTAAAGTTTTTTCTGACACCCCACTCAAGTTAGAAGACTCTAAACTAGAGCTATGGCTCTTCGTCACAGCACTCTGGTTCTTTCTCTTACTGTACATATTGTATACTCTTTTTAGGCTGCTTGTTTACTTTTTCTGTTGTCTCCTCGCAACTAGAATGTGAGCTCTGGGGGCCCAGGGACCTTGTCTTTCTTGTGTGCTGCTGCCGTCCCCAGCACACAGAACAGCTTCTGGCACATGCAGGTATTGTAAATATTATCACATGGAAAAATGAAGCCCTTGAACACAGCCCTTATGATCCCCAAACTTGAGCCCCTTCTCCTACATTCTGCTCTCAGGGAAGAGTTAGTATCGGTGGGGGGAGGGAACTGACTGAGAGCAGAGCTGGCTTCCGCAGTGACTCTGGGAGTGCCATTGGGCGACCTCTTTCCTCTCTCCCAGCCTCAGTTTATCCATTTGTTCTTAGCTGTGGCGCTCTGAGCCACAGGGACCTTGGCAGAGGGAGGAACAGAAGCAGATCCTTCTCTGTCCAGCAGGCGGAGCAACTCGCTTTCTAATTTTTTTTTTTCTCTGCGCTGGACGTGCCTGCCTCTCTCTCTGGTTCTGAGTGAGATCTCTGGTGCCTCCTCGTCAAAATGCACAGTCCACTGTCACCCGCCACCACCAGAAACCTCCCGTGAAGTGCTTCTTTTTTGTCACATATTTTAATTTTTTAGATTCTCCTTTATTTGGTTGAACTTTTAAAGAAACGTTTAGTTTCAGAATAGATTTAGATTTATGGAAATGTTAAATATACTCCATGCCTATCATTTCCCCTGTTATTAACGTCTTACACTTACTGGTACACTTGTCACAATTAATGAGGCTATATGGATACATTATTATTAACTAAAGTCCATAATTTATTCAGATTTCTCTCTTTTTTTTAAACCTCTCCTTTTTCTGTTCCAAGATCCCATCCAGAATATCACTGTGTATTTCGTTGTCATTTTTCTTAGGCTCCTTTCAGCTGTTCACAGCTTCTCAGACTTCTCTTTCCTTTTTGATGCCCACCAGGGAGGTTTTTAGATGGGGCTCAAGCGTGTCTTGAGGTTACATATTCCCTTAAGATTCGAAGCTGAGAGCTAGAACCTTTTGCCTTCTGGGGAACTCAGGAACAAGTTTTTGTGGTAGAAACCGGTGACTTTCGACTCAAATCCTTGGGCTGATCTTCAGAAATGGTCCCTCCCAATCTAATATTTCTGGTGTGTCTGTCGTGTGTTCATCCCCGTGTACTGTGCCAGCAGAGGAGTGGAGCTAAGACTGGGTCCTCCCAGGGCTTATGGTTCACTTCTTCTGTCCAAGTTCGAGAACAGAGGCACAGGAAAGAAGAAGGCAATGCTTTATCCGTGTTTCACCCAAGGATCCATCCAAGGTGGAAAAGGGGTGACAGGTCCCTAGAATGTCTTCCTTCTTGTGGGACCCTCTCAAGGGCATGGCCCTGGAGCTGGAGGATTTGGAATGAGACAGAATTTAGGTGACTCTCAGTGTCATGATCTCAGCTACGGGAGTCCAGTCCCATATTTCACTGGGGGAAGATTGGAGTTTCCTTCCTCTCCTTGAGAAAGAAACTTCTCTGAGACTTGGTGGTTAACAGTGCCTTCTAATTCACTTTAATAACTTATGTCTGTTCTGTGCTCCTCTGCTTAGAAAGACCCAATCAAATTCTAGTAGCATCTTTGAGGGGTAAGTACCTTTTTTTTTTTTTTTTTTTTTTTTTTTTTTGCTTTCAGTCCTATTTTACCTGTGAAGAAACTGAGGCTCAGGTCTGACACAGCAAATCGTGGTTGGACATGGGATTTGAATCCACCTCTTTCTGTCCCCTAATTTTCATTCTCCTACCCCCCACCAAGTTCTTCTCTTGACCCAGTCAGTTTTATTCTGCTCAAAATTTGGGGGTCTTCTCTAGCTTGTAGACCTGGAGGAGGAGAAGGGCACCTGGTCCAGCCCAAACCTGACTTTCTCAGGTCATCTGGGATGGGACGATTTGAGATGGTGATTCACTGGCTTTGGGAACAGAGGGAACAACCCAGAACTCAGATGTAGATGATGCGAGTATGTTGCCTACCCACGCCTCCCACCAATGGTAGGGGCAAATCATTTTTTACCTGAGATCATCAGTTTCTTCATCTGTGAAATGGTGCTAATATGCCTGCCTAGAGGCTTTATTGCAATGAATAGAGGATGTAAAAGTGTCCACTGAAAGCCCCACGCAGAGATTACCCAGATGGGCATCATCTCCAATGAGAAGATCCAGGGCCCCAAAGGGAAGTCGCTTCCCTGCAGGACAAGACTGAAGGAAGAGACTCATGTCTGAAATTTCAAATCAATGTGCAGGAAAATGCCAAGCTGAATCCCCTACCCATCCCCGGTCCTTCTCCTCCCTCCCACATTGTGAGCGCTGCAAGCCTACAGCAGGGAGGAGACTCCAATACCCTCTAATATTTTACACCAAAGCATCTTGAAGGCAAGTGTTTCAGCTCCAAACTCTCCAGCTTCTAGCATGGAGTGGGCCACACACTGTATGCCCATGTCAGGTGAAGAAATGAATGAGTGCATAAGTGAATGAAGAAACACCAGGGCTGTCAGCAGATCCAGACTTTATCTCCTGACCCCCGGGCTCCCAACCTTCTCAGATCCCCACCCTTCCCTTTCCACAACAGTACATGACACCAGCAGTACCAAAAAGGCAAACTGGACTTTATTATAAAGTTGGCTACAAAGTCACCGCAGCACCACGAAGTGGCCACCTGGGCAGGCCCAGGCAGTCTGGCAGCCGGGTGAGTCCCGCACCAGGTACACGCACTCGTGCAAGCACACGTGTGACAGCGGCAGGTCTGCCTTCCTCCATCGGAAAGGAACGTAGCGTCTCTTCGCGCCCCCCACCCCAGGCGCGGGGCGCAAAAGTCACAAGAAGGGCCGCCAGGGCGGCAGAGTCCATCGGAATTGAAATCCCGTTACTGGTGTGTAGAGAATTCTACGTGGGTGTCAAGAGCCCCTCGGGGCACAGGCTGGCCCAGGTGGGCGCTGCCTTTCCCCCACCAAGGCCCAGGGGTGGCTTGGCCCCCAGGAGTGGAGAACTGGCCCAGGCCCATGGGGTAGTGCGGGGAGTGGGGAAGTGAGACTCCCCCATTCTCCGCTTGAAAATCCCATTCAAGGAAACTCACTACGAGTGAATACAGATTGAAATGGAAACTGAGATTGCTTGAAGTCTCTAAATTTTAAAAAGAAGCTCCCCTCCCCTGCCCTCCCACCTCCCCCCCCCCAAAATCCTGCAGGGCCTAGGGAATCAGATATATCCCCCTCTGGCCCCCAGAATCCCCCCAACTGTCCCGGGGGGGGTGGAGAGCGGCTCCACGTCTTGATGACAATATGCCATACTTGACGACGTTAAGTCACAGACTTATTCAAAACGTTGGTTCCCCTCCACTTCCATCTGCAGAGAGAGAGAGAGAGAGAGAAAGAGAGAGAGAGAGAGAGAGAGAGAGAGAGAGAGAGAAAGAGAGAGATGACATTCAGTAAGTCCATTAGGAAAGATAGATTGAAGATGTGGTGTACTGTTGACACATAGTATGGGCTTCAAATATGTTGGTCCAATGACTGAGTGATCACCAGAGGCTCGGCAAGATAAGGGAGCAATTTGGGTGGATGGAATGAAACTACAACTGTAGTTTTGGAAAGGATGGAGCCATGAGCAAGGAGCCCCCAATGGGCCAGGGGCTAATTTTCACTTTCTGCCTTTCCCAAACTTCTACAAACTCTTGCTCTGTATTCTCTTTAAGGAGTAAGAATACTGAGATAGAACTCTAATCCCTCATCCATCAATTTGTCATGTGACCTTAGGCAAGTTTCTTTAACTCTGGGACCTTGGTTTTCTCCATCTGTAATATGGGTGGTGATAGCTGATCTAGGTCCCTCACAGAATTAAGAAGCACAAGCCATTACCAAGGATTCTCTTGCGTTTTATACTGCACCCCTGACCCCTGCCCTCTAGGCCCACTTGCCCAGAATAACTATGCTAAGTTTTTCACTAGTTCGTATCCTCACTGCTACCCTGGGCAGCAGGTGTTGTTATCCTATTAATAAAATTCAGGCACAGAAAGGGGAGTTTACTCATCTAATTCCACCAGCATCTCATTGGCAGAACAGGGACTTGAGTTTCTCAACATTTTGGTTGGACTTACCTTCATGGAAGCTGTCTTGAACTTGGCTCTGGAGTTGATGCAACTCATCAGTAAACCCATCGTAGGGGAATGCTGAGACACCTGTCTCAAAGGCGGTTTCATATGTGGCCAGGTCCTCCAGGAAGCTGTGGTCTTCTGGGGACAGGTTGTTGCAAGGCGATGAGGCCCCTCCTGGGACCGCTGCCTCAGGATCCCCTGAACTCCATTCCCCATTGGGGTCTGGGGTAGAGAGATCCATGAATATGTCTTCCACGGGCGTCTCTTCCAGGAATATGTTATCAGGGTCAGCCAGGAAATCCAGCTCCTGGCATTTCCAGGGTTTCAGGTCCAGGCTGAGCACAGGGGGACCAGCCCCCGGCAGGGACAGGTTGGAGTCTAGGGGCTCCAGACCTCCAAGTGGCTCTAGCCCGCCCGTGCCAGCCTCAGCTGAGAAGGGCCTGTCCATGCCCTGAGCCAACTGGCTGATCTGCTGGATGAGGCGGTCTATCTCATTCTGCTCCTTCTCAGAGTAGTGGAAGAAACTCTGCTTGACTGGAGAGGCCTCAGGTGTAAGCAGGCCTTCGGGTACCAGAGGGACATCCACAGAGAGGGGGCCCCGCAGCTGGGCTAGGGCCAGGAGCGTGCAGTCCCCATTACCAGGGCTGCTAGGACTTGGGGGCAACTTCTCATAGAGAAAACTGCATCCCTCCTGGGTGAAGTAAGTCTTGGTGGGATTGGGGCTCAGTTGTTCTGGGAAGGTTTGGCTGGGGCTGTTGAGGTGTGCTTGGAATGCTGTGCTGGGAGGAGTCAGTTGTTCATGGGCAGGACTGCCCAGAGGCTCTGGGAAGGTGGCAGTGCTGGGAAGCAGCTGGTCTGGGAAGGCAGAGGTGCAGGGAGTCAATTGATCTTCATAGCTTCTGGCTGAGCTTTCGGTCATCTGGCCTTGAAGTGGGCTCATCAGTGGATCTGGGAAGGTTGCACTGCTTGGAGTCAGTTGATCAGAAAAGGTGGCAGTGCTTGGAGTCAGCTGTTCTTGGAGAGAGCTGGATGGAGTGGACAAGTGGGTCTGGAAGGGCTCGTGGAGGCTGAAGAGGAAGGCACAGCCTCCTGGCTGGTGGGGTGTGTAGGGTGGAGTGCACACAAGATCCTTGCTCAGGTCTGCTTGAAGAGAAGGCTCAGAGCCAGACGGGAATGCCAGGTAACTAAAGCCCAACTCTTTTTGGGATTGAGGAAGCTCTTCTGATGTTGAGGCAGCACCCAGGTCTGGAGCACTAGGGAAATTGGTGCTTCTGGGAGCTCCCAAGGCTGGGGGGAAGAGTGGGTTGGGGCTGGAACACTGCTCTTGAGAGAGGATGTTCTCTGGGAATGAGGGCAGCATGGCTGGGGTGCCCAGAACATAGGCTGCCTGGGTGTTTTCAGAGTTCAGCTGCTGGCGGAGGCTCCAGGCTTCTGTGTCACTGGAGAGGAGAGAAGAGGCAGACGGTGAGGGTCTGGTGGTCTTTCCCAGAGCAGTTCCTGATTTTTACCTCCTCCATGCCCACCTCAGTTGCCCTCCAAGCCCCTGCCTTGCAGCTCACCTGATTGGGTAGTTATTAGCAGTAATGGGGCCCTCTGGACCTTCTGAGTATAACAGGCAATAAATCCATGCCCAGCCTCCAGGCTTGGCCTGCAGTCTCACCACCATCTCTGCCTGAATATCTCCACTCTCAGCCACTGAAGGAAAAGAAGAGATGCAGAGTTAGGATGTCCATCAGGCGACACCACCTAAACTTCCCTCTTATTGACCTTTCCACTGAATTGGGGTATCCATGACATCTCCATTTCTGACTACCCTCACCTGCACCACTCAGCTCCCCACATTGACCTCACCACTTGGAGTCCCCCAGTTCTGACTCTATTCTCACTTCAACTCCTCACCCTAATGTTCATTCTATAATATCCAAAAATTGTTGGCCTCTGTTATCTCCCCAGCATCATTCTTGACCACAGCCCTTCTTGGTTGGGTCTCCCATGACCTTTCCCAGCACCCTGTCTTGTCCCCAGCCTCTCTGGACACTCACACAGGCGGTAGTGTTGAGCAGAAGCGTGGGCCAGGTCCTCGGGGTGCAGCAGTCCATACCATGATTTACAGAGCAGTTCACTGCGCTCAAAGCCCAGGTAGATTAGGACACTGGGAAGGTGGAAAGGGTGTGGTCAGCTTTCTGTTTTCTCTGCTTTATACCCAGGCATCTCACTCCCTCCCAGGTTCTCTGCCCCCTTACACCCCATCCTCCCTGCTCCTGACTCCAGAATCTAGGGTCCCCTCATCTCTGGCTTGCTTTCTTCCTGGAGTCTGAATGCTCTGGACTTACCTCTCAGAGATGTCCAGTAGGGCCAGGTCCTTAGCATGACGGCTCTGGAACATGGCCAGGAAGAGTGAGGCAGGGCCAGGGCCAGGGCCAGGGCGAGGTCTTGGCTCCAGTGGAGCACAGAAAGCCGTGAAAACAGGGTTTCCTGCCCAGTAGGCTCCAGGTGGATGAGCATGGAATCGGCCTCGAATAAGCACCAGTTTGTTGCCTGCACTCTGGCGCCTGAGGGACTTGGAAGTGTTGAAGCGGCAGCGGAAGAGGCGATCTAGGTAAATGAAGAGGAAAGCTGATAAGAGGGTGGATTGTTGAGAGAGATAGCAGGTGGAAAGGAGCAGGGAAGCAGGAAGGAGGTTTGATTGAGAGAGGGAGAAAGGGAGTTCTTACCGGTGTCCAGGGCAGAGGGCAGGGTGAGTTGCTGGCGCACAGTTAGGTGGTCAGCTGGGTCAATGATGTCGTAGATACTGTCACCCTGGGCAACGAGGTCCACCTGGAAAAAGGTGAAGAAGAGATGAAATGACATTTAGTGATGGCAGCAAGAGTGAATCCTTAGCACATAGCATCTGGCAGTGTATAACCTCTCCTGCCTCAGTAATTCTCATATTCTCAAAAGTGGAAAGCTCATTGTATCCCATACGTACTCTAGCCCAAGATAAGAGGACCCTCAGCACTCACCATGGAGTGGCCCAGATGTTCGCTCACACTCTCAGACAGATATAGCAGCTTCCCCTCAGCTGTGAACACAAGTAGAAATCCAGGTAGTGCCGCCACTATGTCTTCAAGCTCTTGAGATGAGAGAAGCCCTGTGGGGCCCGCCAGAGGAGTGCCTGCAGGGTAAGAAGATATGGTGGGTCAGGAATAAAACTGGGAAGCAAATCATAAGTAAGGAAGGCATGCACTGAGTTTCAGAAAATCCAGAGGAATTTCTCATGAACCTGCCTCTGCACACACCTGTTGACCCGCTACCCACAGCTCTTGCCCAAGGAACCTGTTGCTGGATTTCCCTAGCCAGCCAGCCCTTTGACTTCTAAGTCGGAGCTGGGTCTTTGCTGGCCCTGAATTTCAGACCCTCGGACAGCGCTCAAAAGACAACCGGGAGTTCAGCACCGCGGGCAGCGCCTCTCAACACGGTGATGCGGTCAGCACCGCGGACAGCGCCTCAAAGGCTGCTGAAGAGCCTTTTCAACGTAGAGAACAGTGGCCACGCTTGCCCCGGTTTGGGTGACTCCATCCCTGCAACTTCCCGGGCTTCCCTCCTCGGGTTCCTGGAGTGCCTCTACGCTGTGGGAACTGGGGCCATTCTGTCCTGGCTTTCTAATTCCCATAAATCTGGCAGCAGGGACACTATCCAGGCTCTTACCAGAACTAAGGTGAGGTCTGAACAGAGCTCAGGAGGAAAAGTAGGAAGACCTGAGTTCTCCAAGTCCCGTCTCTCCCCAGCTCGCCGCCACGCTGCCCTAGACATGCATCAGTCCCTGCTGGTTCCCTCAGCTCCACTGTCCCCGGTGCCCGCCAGCTCTGGTCTCTGGCAGCCCCAGTTTGCTCACCTCCAGCGAAGAAGACGCCCTTGCGAGTGTAGATGCAAGCAAGACTCATAATGTGCAGGTAGGAGAGCCGGACCTTGTCCGCTTCAGCTAGAGGCAGGAGCTCCTTGAGGTTCCGGATCTCAGCGTTGATCTGGTCGCGGCGCGCCTTGGAGGCGCCCTTGGTGGAGCGGTACATGACTAGCGGCTGCAGGGCTCCAGCTCGGGTGCTCCGAACACCTGCGTTCCCGTCCCGACGCACCGGTGGCTTCTTCCTCCTTGCTTCCCCGTCTCTCGCTCAGGCTCTCTCTCTCTCTCTCTCTGTCTCTCCTCTCCTGGGCTCCGCTCGGCTGCGCTGCCCCCCTCGACTGCCTCGTTCCGCCTTATATAGCTCCTGCTAGGCGTGGGGGGCTCGCTTTACAGAAAGGGGGGGCGGGAAAGCAGGAGGCTGGGCTAAGCAAGCTGCAGCGGGAGCCACTGGCTGGGGAGGGGGGAGCGCTCCTCCTCCCTCCCGGGCTCCCGACGTCATCCCATGACGTAGAATGAGAGCGGGAGGGGGGACGGGGGGAGGGGGAGAACTGAGGCTGCGGAGGGGGCCGCGGCTGGCGGCAGCTGAACCGAGAAACGGGCGCTGCATTAGGAAGGCCTGAAAGAGGGTGCAGGGACCCAGGGGTCCGAATGTGTTCAGCTGAGGGAAGGGACAGGGCAAGGGTTAAGGCGGTCTGAAGCCCCTGGCAGGAGAGTCTGTAGAGAGGAGGGAGGGGTTGGTCCCAACAGGGATTTTTCTAAGGAGATAAGGAAATGGGGGAGGGGGAGGGTAGTCTACAAATTCTTCCTTGCTATTTGCCAGGCAAAGGTCATGTTCACATGGGGAGGAAAAGAAGGACCCTCCTTGGCCTCTGAGGGAGAGGTCGCAGCTGGGGTTTCTCTCTAGGGATCACTCAATCTGGGATTCCCTTAGTCACTTTCAAAGAACAAATCTCCTCCCCCTCC